GGCCGTAATGAGAGGCATCAGCCGCGGGAAGCGTTCCTTCAGCATGCCGGGCTGCAGATCCTCGGGCGTTGGGCGGTCTGGGCCCGTTCCTCAAACATCACGAACATCAATACCACCAACAGCACCATCATCAGCATCACCATCACCATCAGCATCACCATCACCATCACCATCATCATCATCATCATCATCATCATCATCATCATCAACAACAACATCATCACCATCACCATCATCATCAACATCATCATCACCCTCCCCATCATCATCGTCATCATCCTCATCGTGATCATCGTCATCATCTTTAGCATGCTCACCAAATTGTTCCTCATCACCATCGTCATCATCATGGCCATCAACACCATCATAATCATCATCACCACCATCATCATGAGGGTTCGCTTGGTCCGCTAATGCTTTTCCATAATACACCACACGCGTACACTACACAGATACACGACACGAATACACGAAACTAACACACCACACGAATACGCTACTCTACTAACACTAGACTACTCTACTGCGCTGGCAGCGCCGCCGGAGGCCAGCACCGCTCGGCACGCGCCTCGCCCACGAACGCGACCGACACGCCCGCCCGGCGCCAGGCCTCGCGCGAAGGCTTGCGGACCCCTCTGCTGCCATGGCCCGAGAGGCCTCAGGGCCCCCCCTTGGGGGCCCTGGGCGCCCGCGCCAGGCGCGCAGCCCACTTCGCTGGTTTCTCGGGCCCCCATCGGACCCTGCCTCTGCGGCTCCAGCGCCTACAGGTCGGGGCCCACCTTCACTCTCGCCGCGGCGGACCCCCGCCCCTTGCCGCCGGGCCCCCCACCGCCCCCGCGGTCGCGTGCCGCCAACGCGGGGCCCCAAGGCTCGCCGGCCTCGCCCTGGCCGTTTGGGAGAAAAGGATATGCGAAACCATTTGCAAGTACCACTATACGTATATGATGGTAACTATTGATATGTACAGGTGTCACTCGAATTACAAGTGAAATCGCGCACTTGTCAATCTACTGGAGCCTGCTGCTGTTCGGGCCCCACCTTCGCCTTCACCGCGGCGGGCCCCCGCCCCGCACCGCCGGGCCCCTCCCCGCAGTCGCGCCCCGCCAACGCCTGGCCCCCAGGCTCGCCGGCTTCGCCGCGGTTGTTTCTGAAAGCGTAAATGTATGTGTGTATATATATATACAAATAGCACTCATGGCATATAAAAATACATATGCGCTCACATTGAAAAGATGCGTACAAGTACATCGCTGTTGGGATCCAGATCCACCGTGGGTCTGCTAATAAAAGGGGGGACGGGGCGAATGCGAAAACACTGATTATGTTTATCTGTGCATCTGGGGCGCGGCGACAGGGCGCGGCGCCAGCGCGACGCCAGCGAACGTCGTGGACCTGGGGCCTTTGAGTTGGACGCGCGCCGCCACGCCAACGCCGTCGTCGTCCTCCTACTTTTCCCTTTCGCCCTCCTCGCCTCATCTCCTCCATCACCTCTCCGCTCATTCACCATCCCCGCCCCCCCGCCCGACCCGGGCGCCACCGCGCGCGTCCGCCGACGACGGGGACGTGGCGCCGACTGCCGGGCGCGCCACGAGCAGCTCTACAGCCGGGCGCAAGATGCCACAATGTGCGCAGGCACAGCGGGCGTGCATTCTGGCACTCGAATACCGCTGAGGGAGGGGCGCCGAGGGCCAAGCACTGAACAGGGTCCTTGTTGGCCGACTTGACCCTGTCGTGGAGCGCCGCAGCAGGGTGGGCCTGGGCTGCAGAAGCGAGAGCAGCCTTAGCAGCTGCCGGAGCGACGTCGCCACCGCTGGCCCTCGCATCTCGCGCGCTGCGGAGGCACTCGGCGATCGATCCAGAGCCGGCTGCAGACAGCCTGCCGGCAGGTCAACGCCCTCCTCAGCATCGACACCGACAATCTTCGCCTTGGCAGCCACCACCCTGAAGGACAGAGCGACGCGCAGCTCAGCGCGGGACGACGCATCAGCAGCTCCGAGGTGGCCGCCTGGCGCCTTGGCAAGCGCCATCAGCTCTGACACGATCGGAGAGAGGCGGTCGGACCTCTGGTAGAACCCGAGGCCCTCCAGAGCGTAGCCAGTGACATCCACGCCGCATCTCGCGCGGGCGGGGCCAGCATGACGCCGCGAGGGATCCCGGTGCTCGAGCAACTCCTGGGCCCCTGGATCGCCGGAGACTTGGCCCTCGAAATCAGCAGCCCAAAACACCTCGAGGGCTCTCGGCGACGCAGCGGGCGCGTGAGTTCCCGCTGGGCCCACCGGCTGCCGGACGAGGCCTACTCCGCCCAGGTGGGGCATGATCGGCGCCGCAGCGAACGGAAGGGGCCACCATAGCAGAGTGAGGCACAGGGGATGCCATGGTCACCAGCTCATACCTCGTGGAGATGCCATGCCCAATTCCGTGGAAGAACACCATCACAGGCGAACCGATCTCGGCCGCTCCAATGACCCGCTAAAACCTTCACAGCAGAAATGAACGACGCAATTCGCCGCAATGAGCCGACATGGCGCTGCATCTGGTAGACACGGGTGCCGCGCAGGAGCGCCGACGCGACAGCTCCGTCCGCGTAGCTAATGGCAAACGAAATGGCTCCCAGGGCAGCAGGGCCCCGCACCCTGGCCGCCAGCGCCTCGATCTCGTCGTCAGTCATGGTGGTGTAGCAGACCTCATGAGCATGAAATGGGTCGCGCAGCCCTGTCTCAGCCGACCCAACAGTGTTGAGGACTGCCAGACGTCGTCGTCGTCGCGGCCAGGGCAACGGGGGCGGGGGCGCCGCCGGGGCCGGGCAGGGCGACAGGCGCGGTCGTGGTCGCGGGCGTCGGCGGCGGCCGCGGCCCTATGGGGCAGGGCAGGGCGTCGGGGTCCGGGGCGGGCGCGGTTGAGCAGCAGGGCAAGACGGGCGGGAACGGCGGGGTGGCGCATTTGGCCGTGGGGCGCCAGTCCGCCGCCAGTCCCCGGGGGGACAGGCGGGGGCGCGGAGCGGGTGGGCGACGGCGGAGGAGGAGGAGGAGGAGGAGGAGGAGGAGGAGGAGGAGGAGGAGGAGGAGGAGGAGGAGGAGGAGGGGGGGGCGGAGGAGGGCGGGGGCGGAGCAGGGGCGGACGGGGCGGGCGGAGGCGGGGCGGGGGAGAACGTCAGTCGACGCGGGGGGGCGGACGGGGGGGGGTCGGGGAGGGGCAGGGGCGGAGGCCGGAGGCGGGGGGCCACGACGCAACAGCGAGCTCGACGGCTGAAGCACCCCGCGCCTCCGTAAGAGCATTCGAGGTGGCTCGGGCGGGGTCACTTGCGTTGTACAAGCCCGTCGTTGTCGTCGACGTGTCCCCGCCGCCCTCGCGCGCCTCGCCGAAGACCCAGGCAACCTCGTTCTGCAACACTGGCCGCTGGGAGCGCGATCGGTTCGCGAACGAGCTCTGCGCGGAACTGCGCCACCCTGTCTGCGTCGAGTTCCCTGGGGCCCCGGGACAAAGGCGCGAGCCGCACGGCGGCACCGTCTTCGCCGAAGAACCGCTCAACCATGTTTTTTTTGTTTTCTGCCGCCGGCTCGACAAACGCGCGGCCAGAGGCGAGGCCTGCGGGGAGGTGCTCCTGGTGGGAGAACGCGCCCACGAGGCCGGTCCGCAGCATCCTTCCCCTCCACTATGGGTCGAACGTTTCGTGGACCTCTTCAACGCAGGCGGGGTTGTCCCACACTTCCTCGTTGGCGTGCTCGCGGAAAGCGAGCGCCGCTTTCGCGCCCTCGCGGCCGCGCGCTCCGCGGCCAACCAGAAAGGCACCCGCGAGCTGTCGCGCCCCCGAAGCTTGCCCCCCCCTCCGAAGGCGCAGAGCTCTCTGAGGGGCGCGAGCTCTGAGATGCTGCCCATATGCGCCTTGGGGCGCATCCGCAAATTCAAAATTCGTTGAACCAGCCCCACGACGCACGGCCTGTCGCCGACAACAACATGCTGCTGCAGAGCGGAGTAGCGGAGTACCACCAGCCCTCTGGGCGCAGATGGTTTAGCGCGTTTCCTCTTCCTCTTCCACCCCTCCCTCGCCCAATTCGGGGAGGGGATTGCCCTTTCCCCGCTGCCCCCCCCCGTGGAACTGGACGGCGGGGGTCTCCAGGGGCTGGCGCGTCCAAGATGGCTCAAGATGGTTCCCAAAGGGCTTCAAATAACCCAAGATAACCTCCAAGATGGATCAAGATAGCCAAAGCTGGCGAAATCTGGCTTCTAGGACCAAGAGGCCCCAAGAGCGCCCCAAGATGCCCCTCCTCCTTCGATTCCTCCTCAATGCTTCCCGTTTGGGGCATGACGGCATCCCCCGTCCTCTGCATTCCTGCATGATCCCACACTTCCCTGATCAAAGCAACTGCTTTGGGCATCGTTGCTTGGAAGCTCACCGACCAATCCCGATAATCGGCACTCTTCGCTAGTGGTTGCTTTAAGAAGGGCTGGTGGGGACTCGCGAACCGACGTGCATCAAGCACCCGGTAGTGAGAGGAATGTATTGGGTGTCGGGTATCATAAATTGCCGGGTGCTGAATGCAACGTATTCAAGATTGAGTGTCGGGCATGAAATGTCGAGAATTCAGCGTCGGGTATGAAGTGTCGGGTATGAAGTGTCGGGTACTGGGTGTCGGGTAGTGCAGTGCAGTAGTGTAGTATGATAGCGGGAAATCATAGCGCAATGCCGCATGATAGGGGTGTTATGTATTTGTGTAATATATGAGCGCAATGTACTAGTGGAACGTACCATTGTAGCGTAGAAAATGTAACATATTTACTGTCCAGTTTTGAAAATGGAGCATCCAGTGCCAGGTAGTAAGGGTCAGGTAGCAAATGTCATGTACGACTATAGTGTATTAGTCTCGTGTACTATTGTAGTGTATTAAGTGTGCGGACGTAAAGTGTAAAGTCTCAGTGCAATGTCTGAGTGTAAGTGTATTGTGCAGAGTGCTCGTGAAGTGTTTTCGAGTAGTGTGGTTGTGTAGTGTACGTATGTGGTGTATGACATGTCGAGTACTAAGCGAGTGTAGCGAATCGAGTGGGTGTGGCCTGCGGTACTACATGGGCGTAGCGTATTCAACGTAGCGTCTGACTTGATTGTAGCGTATTCAATTTAGTGGGTCAAGATAATATAACGTATTAGCTGTTGTGCGGTGAGAGGGTGTCGTGAACTAAAGGGGCGCAGTGTTGTACATGTAGTGTAGCGTAGAAATTGTAGTACTCAAGATGATTGCAGCGTACTAAATGCAGCGCAAGACGTGTAGGGTATGAAACACAATGTATTACGAGTTGCGCGTGAGAGGCAGTGCATTCCCACATATATTGTAGTACGTGCTATATGTTCGCTGGCATGTATTAACTGTAGTGAAGTATGTGTTGAGTATTGCGCGTAATGTAATCCATGGTGTGGAACCAATGTTGCTTAGCAGCTGTCGTGAATTGAATATACTGTACTAAGCACTAAAGGTAATGGATCACGTGCTGCGTTTCCAAGGTAACGCTGTAAATGTGGCGATGCAGTGTAGCGTGTTTAAACGTTTTGTACTCAGTGTTGTGTGTTCGATGCAACGCATGAGTTGTGGTGAATGGCGTGTAGTGTAGGTGTACCGTACTAAATGTAGCGTACTCCGTGTACCGTATTCAGTGTAGGGTAATACTTGTTTGTGTCAGGTAAAGTAAGTGAACTACCGTGGATTGGGTGTAGCGCATTGAGCCTAGCTCAGCGAAGGCCGCGTAGACAACGTAGCGTATTAACGGTAGCGTGTTGCGAATATTGTATTACATGGGGCGCAGTGTATTACATATGGTGTTGTAATACGTGTCGTGCGTGAAGTGTAATGGATTCAATGTACTAGTGCTGTGTATCAGAGTCGCGGCACAGCGCGGTGTATGTATAATGCACTCGTGTAGTGAAGTGGCGTAGTTCGCTGGCTCAGCGTATTAGTGTAATGTACTAGCGTCGTGTAATAGTGGAGGGTTAACCTCCCCTTCTGGATGGTTGAGGTTACCCGTCAATTATCATCACCAGCAACATCATCATCACCACCACCAACAACGCAACCATCATGAGCAAGACCATTAGCATCACCGTCGTCGTCCTCATGCCTCATCCCTCCTCCGCCACCTTCTCCTCCTACTCCTTTTTTCCTCCTCTTCCTCCTCCTCACCATCATCAACACCCATTCATTCATAACCCATTCTCCAGCACCAGCAGAATCAGCATCATCAGCAGCCTCATCAGCAGCAGCATCATTGTCCTCGTCTTGGTCACAAGCCAAAAAAGCAGCCAAGGCGTCGTCGTCACCCTCGTCACCCTCCTTCTTCTCCTCCTCCTCCTCCTCCTTCTCCTCCTCCGCCTACTCCTGCTCCTGCTCCTGCTCCTCCTCCTCCTGCTCCTTCTCCTGCTCCTCATGATCCTCCTCCTCCTCCTCCTCCTCCTCCACCTCTTCTTCTTCTTCTTCCTCCTCCTCCTCCTCCTCCTGGTCCTCCTCCTCCTCCTTCTCCTCCTCCTCCTCCTCCTCGCTGGGCAAACTCAAAACACGGAGCTCGAGCATTCTTCTGGTAAGGAAAGAATGCATGAAGCCGACCTAGGCAAAGCGCAAACAAATCAGGCGAGGCCAGCTTGAACGATGAAATGGACAGGGCATAGACATCCTCCTCCTCCACCTCCACCTCCACCTCCACCTCCACCTCCTCCTCCTCCTCCTCCTCCTCCTCCTCCTCCTCCTCCTCCTCCTCCCCCTCTCAATCCCCGATAGGCGATCCTGCCCCTCCCCCCCGCCTCCCCCGAGGGAGGCCGCACCGCGTTCGCGTCCCGCTCGCCCCAGATGGCGACGATGCCGATTGCGCCGCCAGCCGGCATCCTGCTGCGGCCCCGCGGGAGGGCGCCGCCCCACCCGACGGCGTCGTCGCCGACGCTCGCCGCTCCGCTCGTCGTCGTCGGCGCTGGCCCGTCGTTGCCCGCCGTCGTCGTCGCTCGCCGAGCGAGGGGCGCCGGCGGCGACGACGGCTGTGACGACGGCGGGTTCCCGAGGGCGGCCGCGGAAATGGCGACGGCAAGCGGCAACGGCGAGGAAGCCGACGACTGCGACAAGGATGACGGCGGGGCTGGCGAGGAGGACGGCGACGCCGCCGCCGACGACGACGACGACGACGACGCGGCGGCGGCAGCGGCGGCGGCGGCTATGATGACGACGACGAGGACGACGACGACGTCGACGACGACGACGACGGCGACGACGACGAGGGAGCGCACCAAAATCGGCCCACGGCGGAGGCCGCCGCGGCCGTGCGCCGCGCCGCGCCGCGGGGCGAGGCGCGCCGCGGGGGCGGAGCGGGGCGGGGCGGGCTCCTGGCGACCTCCGCGCCGTGGTAGTTGTAGAGCCACCTGTCCAAGGGGGGGGGGAGGGAGGGAGGAGGAGGAGGAGGGAGGAGGAGGAGGAGGAGGAGGAGGAGGAGGAGGAGAGGATGGAAGAGGAGGAGGAGGGCGGAGGAGGAGGAGGAGGGAGGAGGGAGGAAGGAGGAGGAGGATGAGGAAGAGGAGGAGGAGGCGGAGGAGGAGGAGGAGGAGGTGATTGCGTACAGCCGGCCTTGATTGGGCAGGACACGCGAGAGGATATATGAGACCCTTCCGAGGGCCACACTGCCAAAGGGGATGCAGGAGGCACGGGTCGCGAGGCACCGGACACGAGGGTAGAGGAAGGGCACCCCTGATGTGACAGGGTCGGCCTACCAAATCAGGGCCGACTGTAGTCTTCGCTCCGCCCGGCTCCAGCACGTGCCTGGTGGCGTCCACAGATGCGACCTCCGCCTCCTCCTCCTCCGCCTCCGCCTCCTCCTCCTCCTCCTCTCTCCTCCTCCTCCTCCTCCTCCTCCGCGTCCTCCTCCGCCTCCTCCGCCTCCTCCTCCTCCTCCTCCTCCGCCTCCTCCTCCTCCTCCGCCTCCTCCTCCGCCTCCTCCTCCTCCAGCCTTGGTGGCTGCGTCTCGCGCCACACACCCACGCTACGGACCACATGCGTGCATGCACACATGCAGCCGAACGCACGGAACACTGAACACTGCGCCCCCACGGCACGCGGGACGGCACTCCGATGAAGTCGGGCGTGTCCCCCTACAGAGGGATTCTGGGCGAAAAATAAAACAACAACTCAAAACATGCACCCCGAATAGATTCGAACATAGTAACAAAAACCGTCCCCAGACTATGATTTGACTGTGTCTGAAGATTCCCTCTGTGGAGGGACACGCCCGACTTCACACCACGAGGGGCGGGGGACGTCGAAGCCAGCGAGCTCTCGAGGAGGGCGGCGCGCGGGAGAGCCGCGAGGAGGCGGAGGCCGGCGGGCAGCGGAGCGCCGCGAGGGGGGGCGGAGGCAGGGCGCGAGGCCGCGGGGAGGCAGCCCGCACGCTGCACACCCTCTGGCGCGCACTCTTTGGACACCGGGAATGGGTGCAGAAGGAATGGGTACTCCAGATTTCGTAAAAACAAAAAAAAAAAGGGAGGGGGTCTGGACCCTCCAAGACAAGCCATCTCAGACCTCCCCCGCCGTGGGAGAACCCTCCAAAACATCGTCCCCAGACCCCCCAGGCCCTCCAAGATAGCCTGGAAGAGACCCCCCCCGAAATGAGACCCCCCTCCCTTTATTACGAAATCTTGAGTACAATGCCCAACAACAAATGTTGTCCCAAACCGACAGCGGCCGCTGCTGGGCAGGCTGCCTTCTGTCTCAAGTGGGCACAGGCCGCAATCCTGTTCAAAATGCACGAGACCCGCTGTTGGGCATTGTACCCATTCCTTCTGTACCCATTTCCTTCGTGCAGACACTCGGGACTTCACTTTGTCCCGGCAAGTGCACACCACAACCAACGCGATGAGGCCAACGCTTTGTGCGAGACGTCGAGCGACTCGGATGCGACTGCGCCGCATGTCCCACCATGCCGTCTAGAAGCGCGCTACCGCCAGCGCCAGGCTCGACGGAACGGGCGAGCAGAATGATGCGGATTGGAGGTGCCAGGGTTACGTCGGGCCTGTCACCCTTTGCACGGGGACCTTCGACGAGAGATGAGAAAAATACCCCAGAACTAGTCCCAAACTGCTCCAAACATAGTCTGGGGACTAGTTTTTGAGTTTGTTTTTAACATATTGTTGGGGGCATGTTTTGGGTATGCTTTATTTGTCATCGAAAATCCCCCTGTATGGGGGACACGCCCGACATGATGCTAGGCCTCCTCCAAACATAGTCTGGGGACTATTTGTTCATTGTTGGACCTTTTTGGGGGTATTTTTGAAGGCATGTTTTATTTACCATAGAAAATCCCCCTGTAGGGAGACACGCCCGACCTGATGCTAGGATGAGGGGGTTCGTCGGCAACCTCTCAGACCTGGCGGGCCCGGAGGACGTGCCCGCCGCCGCGGCCGCTCCGGTTCCGGAGCGCTCCAGGGCGCTCCGAGGAGAGCGTGCTGGGCCGCTGGAGCGGGCTGTCCTGGGCCTGCCCGAGAGGAGGAGCGGGACGAAGGGGAAAGCGAATACAGTCGGGGCGTTGACCTAAGGAACGCTAAATAAGGAACGAGGCCCCTATTTTCCATAAGTTGAACTTCGATTTCGTATCGGAAACCTAAGGGAAATCCAGGGCAAGCTGCGAAACAATCAAGGAACACCGAGCCCCTCCCCAACGAAAAGGGTTCCTTCTTCAGGACCCCGACTGTAGAGAGAGAGAGAGAGAGAGAGAGAGAGCCGGGGGGGGACGAGGGGAGAGGAGAGGGGCGCCAGGGCGTCTGGCAACGGAGGGTGAGGGGGGCGCATGGCGGAAGCGAATCAATCGCCCGTGTCACTGGCACTGCCGGTGTCCAGTTGCCGCAAGCGAGGAGGGACGACGAAAATGAACAACGGATGGCAATGAGGGACAACAAAGACCGACAACCGACAAAAGAAGAAAACGACGACAAGTACAGGCCTCCTAGATGGGATCCGAGTAGATGCGGTCGGAGGATCGCGCCGCATCTCCAATGAATCGTCGATGCATCGCCGACGTCGGCGACGCATCAGCGACGTCGGCGTGGAGAAAATCGGGCTGCGCATCGACGATGCATCGTCGCTGTATCGGTGATGCGGCGCGATCCTCCGACCCCGTCTGCTCCGACCCCATCTGGGAGGCCTAGAACACAGGCCACGATGGCGATTGCGATGATGGCGAGGACCAGCGGACGACGACTACGGGAACGAAAAATGACATCACCATACAAACTCGGAGGTCCGCGCGGATTTCTCGGATCGGCGCTGGAACCCCATGGCGCGCGGAGCGCTCCAGGGGCGGCGCCGGAGGCGCCGCCAGGGGGGTCCAGCGCCGATCTGAGAAATCCGCGCGGACCTCCCAGTCACTGTTTTATTGTTTGTGTCATTCTTCGCTCTCCTGGACGTGGGCCGCGACGTCAACGACAGCGGCGGCGGCGGCGACGGTGACGGCGGCCCTGCTTGAAGCTGGACGTCGGCGCGGCCCTGCCTCCAGGAAATGAGAAGGGACCGACCGTCCCGGCATTCCTATAGTCCCCTACCACGAAAAGTTCTTAGAACCCCAAAAAAATCCAAGAACAAAAACAGTGTTCTTAGGACATAATAAACCCGATGCGATAAAACAAGACAGTCCCAGCCAGAAATGTTCTAAGAACATGGGGCTATAGGCGAGCCAGGACGCTTCGCCACTGCTTGAACGTCGGCACCCTGCTTGGCGCCCGTCGACGGCGCGGTCCTGCCACCAGGAGGGGAGGAGGAGGAGGAGGAGGAGGAGGAGGAGGAGGAGGAGGAGGAGGCGGAGGAGGAGGAGGCGGAGGAGCAGGAGGAGGAGGAGGAGGAGGAGGAGGCGGAGGAGGAGGAGGAGGAGGAGGCGGAGGCGGAGGTGGAGGAAGAGGAGGCGGAGGCGTAGGCGGAGGAGGAGGAGCAGGAGGAGGAGGAGGAGGAGGAGGAGGACGCCGGGGGAGCCCCCGCGGTCGGAGGCGCCGCCGGCCCGCCGACATCGCGGTCCAGCGCCGCTGCCGAGGCGCAGCCGCCGCGTCGTTCGTCGGCTGCTGCACGCCACGAAAACGAATATATGTATGTATGTAGATATATATATATATATATATAGAGAGAGAGAGAGAGTGAGGGGGCCGAACGGTCATTCACTGTCCCTGGGTGCGTGGCTGAAGTGGGATTCCGCGGTGCGGATTCGTGTCGTTGTTGTTGTTTGTTGTTGTTGTTGTTTGTTGTTGTTGTTTGTTGTTGTTGTTTGTTGTCGTCGTCCCACCCGCCACCCGCCCCGCGACCCACCCGCGACCCACCCCGCGACCCACCCGCGACCCACCCGCGACCCACCCGCGACCCACCCGCGACCCACCCCGCGACCCACCCCGCGACCCACCCGCGACCCACCCCGCGACCCACCCCGCCACCAACCCCCGACCCACCCCGCGACCCACCCGCGACCCCCGACGCGACCCACCACCGGCGACCCCCACCGCGCCCATCCCGCGCCCCGCCCCGCGCCCAACCCGCGACCCACCCCGCGACCCACCCCCGACCCCACCCGCGACCCACCGCGACCCACCCGCGACCCACCCCTAACGACCCACCCCGCCACCCACAGCGACCCACCCGCGACCCACCCGCGACCCACCCGGCGACCCACCCGCGACCCACCCGGCGACCCACCCGCGACCCACCCGCGACCCACCCGCGACCCACCCCGCGACCCGCCCGCGACCCACCCCGAGACCCACCGGGCGACCCCCGGGCGACCCACCCGCGACCCACCCGCGACCCACCCGCGACCCACCGCGACCCACCCGCGACCCACCCGCGACCCATCCCGCGACCCACCCCACGACCACCCCCGACCCACCGGCGACCCACCCGCGACCCACCCGCGACCCACCCCGCGCCCCGCCCGCGGCCCACCCCGCGACCCACCCGCGACCCACCCGCGACCCAGCCGCGACCCACCCGCGACCCAGCCGCGACCCACCCCGCGACTCACCCGCGACCCGCCTTCGACCCAAACCACGTTCAAGGTACAAACCAACATTTTCGGCGCCTGCGGCGGGTTTTTTTTTTGCATTCCTTCCAGGTGGAGAGCCCGCGACCAACTCGCGACCAACCCGCGACCCAAACCACGTTCAGGGTACAAACCACATTTTTCGGCGCCTGCGGCGGGCATCTGTTGCATTCGTTGGAGAGACCGCAGCCCACCCGCGACCACGTTCAGGGTACAAACCAAATTTTTCGGCGCCTGCGGCGGGCATCTTTTGCACTCGTTCCCGGTGGAGAACCCGCGGCCCACCAGCGACCCAAACCACGTTCAGTGTACAAACCAAATTTTTCGGCGCCTGCGGCGGGCTGCTTTTGCAGGAGGACGAGGAGGAGGAGGAGGAGGAGGAGGAGGAGGAGGAGGAGGGGGAGGAAGGGGACGACGACGACGACGACGACGACGACGTCGACGACGACGACAAAAAGGAGGAGGGGGGAGGATCGGGAGGGGGGGAAGAGGAGGAGGACGACGAGGAGGATCATGACGACAATGGGAGGACGATGATGGAAGGACAAGGGGGGGAGAGGGAGGACGAGGAAGAAGAGGAGGAGGAGGAGGACGAGGTGGAGGAGGAGGACGACGATGACGATGAGGACGAGGACGAGGACGAGGAAGAGGAGGAGGAGGAGGAGGAGGCGGAGGCGGAGGAGGAGGAGGAGGAGGAGGGGGAGAAGGAGAGCGCCATCGACAGGGAAGGTGGGGGCCACGAGGTCCGCCGGCTTGACGACGCCCGCGTCGCCCGCGCCCGCCCCCTCACTCCTTATCCGCAATTGCGGGGTGCTATATATGTATATTGTTAAGCCTCCTCTTCCTCCTCCTCCTCCTCCTCCTCCTCCTCCTCCTCCTCCTCCTCCCCTCTGCTCCCCCTCCTCCTGCTCTCCTCTGCCTCCTTCACCTCCTCCTGTTTCTCCTCCACATCCTTCTCCCCCCTCCTCCTCCCTCATCCACCTCCTCCACCCTTCCTCCACCTCCCACTCATCCTCCTCCCCCTGCCCCCCCCCTCGTTTTCATCTTCGTCGTTCTCAGGGTCGGCGGCACCGGCCGTAAGCCCTTCGCAATAGATACACTTTTACTGCGACGACAAACAAAGAACAACAACAACAACGCAACAACGCAACAGACAGGTTCCCCACCGCGGATATTCCCGCTTCGGCCACGCACCCAGGGGCAATAAAATGACTGCTCGGCCCCCTCACGCTGGTATGCACGCACGGACACCCTCCGATGAACTCTGCGTGCACCTTCAGGGAGGCTGTGGCGCATAAAGCTGCTGGCTTCCAGTGGTGATTCAACACACACCGCCACCATCCCCTGGAGGCCCCGGCGGTCGCCAGTCGCATGTCGCGGTCGTGGCCGTCGTTGGCGTGGCCGCCATTGTCGTGGCCGCCGCCATCGTGGCGGTCGCGGTCGTGCGTCGTGGCAGTCGCCGTGACCACCACCGTCGTCGTGGCTGTCCTCGCCTCGGCAGCGTCGTGGTCGTTGGCCGTCGGAGTCGCCCCGGGAAAAGCGGCGGAGGAGACGGCCCGGAGGCAAGCGGACGGCCACGGCTTGGCCGACGACCGGAACGCTGCCAAATCGACGTGCCTGGGCTGATTCTGCAGGCTAGGCTGAGGCCTTCTTGATTGCCTTGGCCTGGAGTGCCGCTCAGGGAGACGACGACGACGACGACAGGACGGAGACGCCGGCGGCAAGACGACGACGACAGAGACGACGACGGCGACGACGACAGGACGGCGACCGACAGACGACGACGGAAGAGAGCGGCGAACGACGCATCCCCCTCGTCCAAAAAACAATGGAGACCTTCGGGAAGCATTCGAAGACACTCAAACGTTCACAGATTTCGAAGACCTCCGAAAACAGCCCGAAAACCTCCGAAGACCGCCGAGGCCGTCCGACAAGCTCAAAGACGGCCACGTCTCGAGCGTACACGGCGGCGCCGCCACCCTGGCTTCAGCAGCTCTTCGTTGGAGCCGCTCTTGTCATCTACCTTGTCGCAATTCACCTCGCAGTCCCGCGCGGAACAGAAGGAGGATCAGGAAGCCGTTTCGGGCACAGCCAGGCGTAATTAGGACAGAAGAAAGCCACCCAAAGGCATGATACTCTCCGACGACCAATCTAAAGAACCTTCGAGGGTGCCCTCCGTGCACGGTTTCCCCCGGGGCCGCAGGCGACCCGAGGAGGAAGAGGAGGAGGAGGAGGTGGAGGAAGAGGAGGAGGAGGGAGGAGAGGGAGGAGGAGGAGGAGGAGGAGGAGGCGGGGGAGGAGGATGACGAGGCAGGAGGAGGGAGGGGTCGCCTAAGCCCTTCGGAGAAACCCTCCAGCCCTCCACCGTCCCACCGACTTTGCGTCGCGGCGCGGTCCCAGAAACGACCTCGACGGGGGGGGGGCGGGGCCCACGCTTTCCTTTCAAAGGACTGCCTGCAGACCTCCCCATGACGATGCTTGCACCCAAAGAGGGCTGCACTAGGAGCTCGACCACAAGAGACCTCCCACAAGAAACCCAGCCTTAAGTCGGGCGTGTCCCCCTACAGTGGGATTTTGGCCGGAAAATAAAAAGTACTCAAAAAGTACCCCCCAATGGGCAAAACTAGTCAAAAAATCGTCCCCAGAGTATCATGTTACCATTTTTGAATTTGTCCTCCTGTAGAGGGACAAGCCAAACTTAAACCCAGCCCTGAGGCCCCAAGGGACGTCCGTTGACTTCTGGTGCGGGTGCGCCACGCGGCCCACGGCAACGACATGGAAGCCCAGGAAATTCAGGGCACCCCAGAGGCAGGCAGGGTGCTTCTTGGCATTGGCTTCCACTCGCGGGGATTTTCTGCCCTCCCTCTCTTCCTCCCTCCTCTCTCCTCCTCTTCCCTCCTCCCCCTCCTCCTCCTCCTCCTCCTCCTCGTCCTCCTGCTCCTCCTCTTCCTCCTCCTCCTCCTCCTCCTCCTC